AATATATAAATATATAAATTATATGAAATATGTGTATATATATTATTTTCTTTAATAAAATTAGATAATAACACTAAATATACGTTGTTTTTAATAATTTATCTCACCATAATTGGTGGTGGTGATGTTTTGATGTTGTTTATCTGCATGGAAGCCAAAAATGGTGCTTCATCACTGTAGTCCAGGTGGAATATATAGAATATATTTTAATAAATAAGTGGTAAGCATTTATTCTCTAAAGGTACTCGTAATAAAACTAAATGTTGCGGTATATACACTAGATCTTTAGTCTGCTACCTAAAGATCTACTGTATAAGACTTACTCTAAGCCCAAAAGAGGGCGCAATAGACCCGATGGTCGCAGTGCCACATCCCCTAACAATAATAATAATGATAATAATAATCTATTGTGTCTCTTGCATAGAAGTAGTTATATTTTTCTGTGTCCTATTTTTTCGATAAATTACAGTATTGATAAAAAATGTCGTAAACGTTCCTTTTGTGTAGGAATCAGAGACGGGTAATCTCCTATCATTTGTTTAGTGTGTTGTTTCTTATAAGATTTACAATTTCGACAGGAATAAATTCACAATTTTTGTCGTTTTAAGTAAAAAGTACCTATTAGTGAGTACATGTACCTATTCTTTTTAAATTATTGACAGAAAATTAAATCCTCCTAAGTCACAAAAAAGGCTGTTTTTTTCCTGGTACTTTTCTTTACTATATCCTTATCCGAAATTTCAACATAACTCGGAATTCACAAGATTCATACCTTATTATTTTGGCTACGATATTCAGTTTTTCAATATACGTTATCACTAAACTTGATGACACTAAATTAGATTTTAACGCTTCTATTATCATTAGTTATTAGGATTGGTCTTTTACGGTTTCGGGAGTCACGTTTACAAAAAGAAGCTTCATTTATTTATGTGATACAAATTGTGGTCTTTATAAAAAAAAAATGATAAAATAAATAATAAATTAAAGCAAACTTTTTTTAATACAAACTGTTCCCACACATCTGCAATTTTCATGCAAGTACTTTAAATATGAAGTAAATAATCAGAATATATATTACACACGATAAACCTCCAAAGTCTGTAATGAAAGTAATATAAATTATCATTTCAAAATAGTGCTATTTACAAGCATAAGAAACAAAGTATATAAGAATTATAAATATTAATGTATGTGCCAAATAAATTTATTATAATTCTCATGGACTTGAAATATAAATGTAAGTATAAATAATACGGTTCAGTCAACTTATCGAGTTCAAATTTAATATAATTGGTGGAGTTGAAAAAGTGTTTCTGTATTAGCGTACTATGATGTTGAAAGTTTCCGAAGAAGCTGCTGTGAACAAATGACATCTTTAAATTTATAAAATTTCATTTAGACATTTTGTAAACATATTAAACAAATAAATAAATATATATATATATATATATATATACAAAAGAAATCGCTGATACACTTAGAAAATTTAGGGCACTACGTTTTAATGTTTAAACTTATTTTTTTTTTAGTTTTTGTTTGAATTTTTTTTAATTCATGATATAAAAGGTTCGAACGACATAAACGAATTGTTCATGTAATGTTCATTTTAGATCCATCTGTGTACCAAACTAAAATTTTGGGTAAACCTATAGGCACGGTTGCCACTTGAAAATTTTTTTCTGTACCAAAATTTGTTTAAAAAGGTACCATTTCTGTAAAAAAAGGTCCAAAATTTTTCTATTGTCTTTTTATAAGAAAATACAATTTATATAAATGCATACAAAAAAGTAATAAAACAATACAATATCACAATATAAGTTGGGTCGACGAAAATGTACCATTTTTTGAACCATGAGTTACCAAGTTACCAAAACAGGGAAAAAAAAAGTACCATTTTGAGATTAAAGTACCATAAGTGACGCCAACCGTGCCTACTAGGTTTCTTTTTCCCACTTAGAAAAAGATCATGATATCAGTAGGTTAACCATTCAAATTTTTATTAAAGTAATTGCGATATGAGTGTTATTGTTTATTATTGCCATATTGTTATAGTCTTCACATCGCATTGAGGTATTTTGAGTGTTGCGTGCTCCAAATTTTTTTAAATTATTGTTTCTCCATGAAAACCATAGGGTCCAACGCCAACAAAACCATTGCTTTATCCAAAAGGAGTTTTTAATTAGGAGCGCCCACCCTAAAGTCGCACCGCCCGTAGATTGAATGTGTATGTGCAGAGGTGTCAACCCAAGTATATGTTACCCTCAAGGCTTTATTGATACTTTGTATTGAGGTAATGTCAGCATATAAAATACAATTTTTACAGATGATGATACCACAGAAATGTTCCTTGTTAAAAAAAACTTGAAAATATGAATTTAATAAATATTTATAATAAATTATTTGTTTAAAAATAAAACAACATTAGTTTTTAAAGTTCAATAATTCTTATTATGCTTTATTTTTATATAATAATATTTAGAT